CGACTAAAATCCCCAACCAATGATGTGCCCAGTTTTCAAGACGCGAAATCCGACTCATCATGCTTCACGAGTACAAACTCGGCCGTAATGCTGCGGAAGCAGCTAGGAATATCACCAACGCATGGGGCGAAGGTACTACAAATGAGACCGTAGGTGGTTCGACAAATTCCGAAATGGAGACTTCAACCTGGAAGATCAGGAGGGACGCGGTCGGCCATCGGAAGTTAAAGACGACGAATTGAAGGCACAGATAGAAGCCAACCCAAGCATCCACAAGGGAAATTGCTGAAGAGCTGGGAGTTGACTTCGGAACTGTAGCACGTCATTTGAAGAAAATTGGGAAGGTAAAAAACTTGACAAGTGGATCCCGCATGAGTTGACTGAGCACCAGCAATCTCGTCGTCTCGAAGTCTGTTCGTCTCATCTTTGCGGAACAAAAGCGATACTTTTCTGCAATATTGTGACGTGTGACGAAAAATTGATTCAATACGACAATAGACGACAGTCAGGACAGTGGTTGGATCACGATGAAGCTCCTAAACATTTTCTAAAGCCGAATCACCAAAAAAGGTCATGGTGAGAAGTTCTACAGCCGGTTTGATCCACCACAGCTTCCTGGCTCCAGGAGAAACCATCACAGCGGAGAAGTACTGTGAGGAAATTGAAAAAAAGCACCAAAATTGCGACGGATTCAGCCGGCAGCGCGATCCTACTCCATGACAACGCCCGACCGCATGTTTCATTGATGACAACAAAAAAACTGATGGAGTTGGGATATGAAACTCTCGACCATCCTCCATACTCACCAGACCTTTCCCCTACGGATTATCACTTTTTCAAGCATCTCGAAATTTTCTTACGCGAGAAATGCTTCCGAAACCAAGACGACGTAGAAAAGGCATTCAACGATTTCGTCGATTCCAGAACTCCAGAATTTTATGCTGCCGGAATATTGAAATTGCCTGCTGACTTTTTGATCGCTGTTTCAATTGAAAAGCAACACTTTGAAGCGAGTTATGATATTTTAAAATATTTGCTTCAAAACGGTCATTATTTTTGCCACGACCTAATAGCTTAACAAGATTTCAGACGTCTCCTCTTGATGGCTCGACACCTCGATGGGAATAGCAAAAGTGCAGAATGCCCCCCCCCCCACTTCTCCGACGCCGAACTGCTCCTAAAATTTTACACGGCATTGAGCGCAGTATTAAAAAGTTGAAGAGGAGTCCACTGCTTCTCTCCACATTGAGAGTGTTCATGAATTCAATGAGGTCACTTACTGTTAGTTTTTAAACCAAATATTCTAAAATACCGAGAACAAGTAACAAGACAAGGTAATACACATAAGACATGCTCTCTCTCCCGATTAGCTTTGCTTCCGTGATTATTCTTTTCTAACTGTTGTTTCGCGTTCTACTTGATTGGCTTTGAACAAAATTTACGGGTTCAGATGCGCTTCCTTGTACGTTACATTTCCCTTATTCCGCTTGTGGTCATGGGAGTATTCTTGTATTCCGAGATGCTACTGATCTCACTGGATGATCACGAAAAGGCATTCAGTAGGGTGGCCAAGGCATTTGCTGACTGGCGATCATGCATGACAACTCAGTTGGATGAGGTGCAGCATAAGCCTCTCAAGGTAGTCCCATTTTATTATCAGAAAGAGGTTCATCATTGATTTGCCAACTTTCTAGATGTTTCTTCAATTCCAAAAAATTACGACTTTCTGCACGATTACCACCAAACTTCGCAATATCAAGCTCGTTTCTATCCGAAATAAAGACGAAGTCAAACACTGTATCCTTAGCCATGTATGTTTATTTTCAGACGGTAGCGCTGCCTAGATGATTTGCAAGTTTTCAGGACAGAGATCCCCGTGTTATCGTGACGTTAGGTGTCGGTACAGACATAAGAGCTGAGCGCGAATTACAACAACTACTTCCAGAGGTAAACAAAAGCATATGGCACGATAGTTGGTGCTCGGTCTAAAACGCTAGCAGGGTGCTATATAGTGGAAAATGGCGAAAAAAAGAAGTGAAACGGTCAAAAACCTGGGAAACAAGCCTTCTTTCTCAGTGACTCAAAGAGCAATTTCAACGAGTTTTCCGTGGGCATCTTGAAAATAACAGCTACGGTAGGTGCGGCCGCACGTATGTACTCATATATTAATGCAGCAAAATGAAGCAATACGAGCATGAGGGAGGGTCGTCCTATTCTGGGCGGACTGTGCGGGGTAGGCGTTTGGCTCGGTGTGTAGAGATTTGACAGGGCCTTATAAGGGTATCTTCCTTGGGAAGGGAGCTACGCAGCGCCTGCTCAAGGGGATTCCGTCCTGCCAAACTTATTAATCCTACTAGTCTTAGGAATTTATCGTGCCAGCTGTTTAAGCAGATTATAACAATCTTAGATGTTTAAACCTACTACCAACAATATGTCATTGAATTCCAGGGGTCAGAATTCTTTGGAGCTGATCCGGTGGCAACGCCGAATGCCGATATTTTCAGCGAAATTGGGACATTTTTTCCAGTGGCTGTCAGTGATCGCTCTGGTCTCGCACGTTCTATCATTCGAGCAGATAATGGTAATTGTAATAATTAGATTGCGGAATTATGTGTGAAAACCCTTTGGCTCAGCCGGGACTCGAACCCTGTCTTCTTGCGTTTTGGCTGGATTGCAGCAGGTTTGTCTCCATGAAGTGCTGCAGAGCCTAATGCCCGGAAAATGAAGTCAGAATTCGGATTTTGGCTGAGGCGAAGCATCGGCGAGTTAGATGAAACGGTTGGTTGTAAGTAATGGCATCGCAAGTAAAAGCGAAAACAGAAAGCAAAACTCACCGACGTAACCCTCTAAAATCTTCATCGCATATACAAAACACAACACTGCAGACGGGCAGGCGGACAAAGGCACCAGTCAAGAATAATTATTAATCAGCATCGCTATATATGATCTCAGCTGCTTTTCCAGGGCAGCTACATTAGAACAGTAGTGAAACATATACACTTCGCGACGTTCCTAAAGGAAATGGTGAATCGTACACATATCGACTTCCTGTTTATGGACAGTGAAGGTCCTGAGTATCAACTGATTCCAATGATTGCTACTGACGAATGTGTTTGCTAAGTAAGACACATTGCAATCTGTCAAATAAATGTGGAGGTGAGCGCTGCCTGTTCCATCAAGGAATGTTCTCTCATGTTGTTTGGAGGCACGCTCCACGATAGACTGAGGCGATGACCTCTCAAATGCGCCAGATGATTCAGTGGCCGATTTCGTGGGGTGTGCCATCCATCGTCAAAAAGTGGAAAGTGGCAGGAACGCTGACCATATTGGGCTCAGGGCACCCTTAAGTCCATGAGACCCACTGGCTGCCATTTCATATTATACGTTGTTAACCACTATGCTATGAAAAAACGCAGAGACTATCCGGCTCTCCATTCGAAATGTGAGAGTGACGCGATTAGACGAAAGAGCTGATATTGCTATGATAACAAATAGCCGAGATTCGTACAGACACGCCTTCTCTTCACTGTAACCTACAAGTTGGGATTGGCTTGGAGTCCTATAAAGAGCATTTCGGACAGCTTTTTTTTCTGCTTTTCTCCACTGATCAGTTACTTGGCACTTTGTCGTTCATACTTGGACTCCATTACCCACCACTCAGGTTTGTAGTCAGGGTAGTTTGGCCTCCTCGAACATCGCATGCACTTGGCTGGAAACTGCCTGGAGCCACGGGCTTCTGCGCCAAAATACCTTGGCTCACCAAATCGCTGAAACTTCTGCCCAATGGTAGTTTTGGCCTATTGATCACGAACACCAAATTAGCTTGGCAGGAAACTTGATGGTTGGGCGCTGGCGCTAAAACACCCTGTGCACTGCGCCCGTGGCACTGAGGTCAGGTACGATCGCAAAACGGATGAGATATTCGTGTTCAGAGGGCCGTACTGCTTTCGGCACAGCGTGACTAAAGTACTTCGATTGCAACTTATCTGGATCCGAAAAGTGAGTCTCTAGGGATAAGTAGCGTCAGAAATGAGATGGAATATTAAAAGTAGTTGACAAGTGAAAAGCGTGAACTGCTGCTCACATGCAAAAACCAGTTTCTACGAATAGAATACAAGAATTCGTAAAAAGGGTCACGAGGACCGTGTCCACCACTGGGAGCAGTCACTTACAGAGGGCATGCCAATGGGTCAAAAGATGAAACTGTCAATTGTCGACGTTCTGACCAAATAGTTGTTTTATAAAGATAGAACACATTTCACTTCGTACCTTGTTGGTGGTAAAACCACAAGGAGGATTCCCGCTTATCGACCGCTCCCCAATGAATAGAATAGTGGACAGAATCGTTAAAGGGGCCCTAGATAAGGACCCACGTTAGAATGAGTATTCAAGAAACGAGACACTGCAGCACGTGAGAGAGAGCATAGATGAGTTATGAGACAGCAGATAGAAAGAGAGGCGGAGATCACAAAGGTTGGTCCTACACAAAACTGACGAAATGCACAACACCAATGTCAGTAGTTACGGAACCGCTGTCAAATCTCTCCTACTGGGGCAGTCTTCAACCGAATGGGAAGTCTTCGGCTTGTGACGCCCGTCGGATTCATTTCGCAGCTGAATATATATCTAAAGGGGATATTTCGCAAGCAGAACGAACCCCTACTCGGAAGGACGTGCTAAATTCTCCAGAGGTTCGTGATCGCGACTCTTCAGACAAGCTCCATCCACATCGTGTCTTTGTTGTTTGCGTGACTATGATCGCTTTCTTTCATCAGTTGTTCGACCTCGTGCCCAGTGTTTTTTTGCATGTTGATTTTTCGCCTACTTCCAATGCTCAAAACACAGCGGTCAAAGGAAAGCCTCATCGATGCGTTCCCACACAGTTTTTCACTCACCATGGCTGGTGTTTCGACTGATACTCACAAATTCAAATTTCACACTTTTCCTATCACTACATAACGAAACACGTTTTTTTACGTGTTTCGATAATTCCTGGATAGAGGACGGGAAAACAGCGTTGAGTTGATTTCCAAAGAGATAAAATGTACAGCCAAGGGATTGCATCATCCATGTTTTTTCGAAATCCCTCTCAAAACGGCGACTTGGAAAAAATAGAGTCAGAGTAAAATAGTAATATGATGCTTCATATCCGCCTTACGACTATTTGTGGTTATCGTGTTTTCTACGTCGAAGAATTCTTTATAATTGATAAAGTAAAACTCTGGGACTCACTAATAGTCACCTGTACAGAACCACAGGCGCATGGGCCCGATCATTGGTGTAGGAATAGACGCCAATCAATTCCGGATTGCGTGTTGGACGCATATTCCTTCTCATTGTTCTTGAAATCGTTCCTAAAATCACCCTCCCCCTGCCCTCGCCCGTTCAAAGAGCGTAACTGTGTTCCGCACGGCATACACTAAGTCACGTGTACTTACTATGTTAACTACACACCATAGTCCTGTTATAACCTACTGTAACTCACTTGACGAAACTTCCCCCCCCCCTTTTTTCTGGATACGTCCTTCTAGGCAGTCGTGATATATTCTCATCCGATGGTGACGCGCGCCTTACGCCACGCGAGAAGCGCTCTGACTGTTAGGCGTGTCGTCGAAAGCAGCCTCGCACGTATTACCTGAGCATGCCTCTACGCTCTCTGACAGTTTGAGCTCTGCGCTTAACACACTACACCGGCCGCCGCACTCATGCTGCCTACTCTTCGCTATGTGACTCTCGCCGATCGATTAATTGCTGACAGCTCCTAAGTCAGCGCGATGTTCTGCAGCATTTTTTTGCTATTCATCTGTTACATTCAGCGTGAAAAAGCTGAAATTAGTATTTTTTTCAACTGCAATTGGGAGGTGCGTTTGTTCGCTAAAACTCGATCACAATTTCCATGATTTTAGCATTAATTTCTTTTGGAAAACTGGTTTCTTTTTCCAGGTTCCTCATTTTTGATTTTCTACTGAGTGTCATCGCTGGAATCCGATGTTATTGACTAGAATCACGCAAAATGAGATCTAGCTTCAGTAAAATTTTCTTACCTTTTCTTATTTGAGCCGGACGGTTCAGCTTTTAGAGGCTGAAAACTACAGAAATCAGTGTAATGGGCATATCAGCCACTATCAATGGCTGCGGCGTCGAACCGCTTGCCAATGTGGATGGAAAGACCACACCGTTGGATAAGATATCCACTGTAGCTTCTCTAGCAACGACGAAAATGCAGCGCCAGAGTTCCATGCTGTCACACCTTAGTTGGCAAGACCGATACAGCGCAATGTATAGCATTTATGGGCAACTTCTTGTGCTCACTCGCTTGTTTCTTTCGGAAACGTATGCTCTTATTTAGTAGCACAATGGCAGCGCTGCGGCTTCAAATAATGCGAGGCTTCGGTTGCTAAGGTAATCAACAAGGCCACGTACAAAGTGACGAAATTGAGCTTTCCAGGCACGTTTTCCGCGCTCATTTGACGTTCGGTGTCGAGCATCACTGCCAGGTTCACACTACTTTTCAGTGCCAGTTATGCGTAGACCACTACCTTCTCAATCAATTTGGTACCTTGGAAAGATCAGAGAGGAAAACCCGGGCTGGTTGATGATAGTAGACATCTTGATGCTGGAATTCAAAACTACTGAAAAGGGTTATCCGTTAGAAGAATTGGTCAGAAAATCTCTTGTTCAAGCTCAAGAGTGGGTTCACTTTCTGCGGCAGCGTTTTGAGCATCAGACTTCGTTTTGAGCGACTAGAAAGTATGGTTATCCATTACCAGTGAAAACGCTGGCGGACGCTCAATGCTTTGATGGACGCTCATAACGCTAACGCAATGCTGACAGACGCTCGATGAGCTTTATGAGCGCATTTCGAAGGGAGAGACTCGCTAGTTGATGAATTTATATCCGCTCACGATATCCTTAAGACGTGGGCGAGAAATTTGATTCCCATAACAGGTCTGAAACCGTTTTTGCCCTATCCTGCGCGGAATCTTCTTCAGTACAAAGAAAACCAAGCAAATGACGAGAAATCACAGCTCAAAGCTTGAAAGGTTGTATGGAATTATAATCACTGTGATTCGTCGTGCTACTGCACTGGATTCCACAGCTGGAATATCACAACATTCTTCTTTGCAGTTTCACAGAATTGGCGAGAAAGGTCTTCAAAGTTTCACGCGTGTAATTCCGGAAATGTTGCAATCGGGCCGTTATGCAGCAATTTATGGCATCCTCGACTATCATAATCGTGTATTTCTCATTAATTATAATAATACATATTGTATACACAAATATCTCTCACAGTTTTTCTGAGTGCCTCGTTGCCATTTATTACGGGGACATTTGCAATCAGTGTGGCTGGCGCCCAGTGCCGCTTGCATCACACTGATCTTTTGAGCGGCTTACGGTACATTGAATCCAGCTGCTATTGTCGAAGCCTTTCCTTTTGTGCGTTTCTATTCTGGCTCTGAGAAATAGATCCTAGTTGAAATGTTGTTAGTGCTAACCACTATAGTAATGGTCAGTGATAAAGTCATTCAGTGCTGCCCTTCACACTTATGTAAACCTTCTCCATTTAGTTAACCCATTGCGTACCGCGGCGTTTTCGC